CTGGCGCGCGTTCGCAGGGCGAGGAGGCGGAGGACCGGGCACGCGCAAGCACTCTCGGGAGTCCATCACACGGTCGCTCACCCTTTCTCCCTCCCAACCTTCCTGTGTTGGGTCTTCGTCCTGAATTCGCAGCGCCGCGCGTCTCCTCCTCCTCCTCCTCCTCCTCCTCCTCCTCCTCCTCCTCCTCCTCCTCCTCCTCCGCCTCCGCCTCCGCCTCCTCCTCCTCCTCCTCCGAAGAAGAAGAAGAAGAAGAAGAAAGCCCAGGGGCACCCGAGTGGGCCCCCACCCACGTCACCAATGGGGACCCCTGGGGAATTACGTTATGGTCCCAGGTCCACCGCAAGCCGCCGCCGACACACAGCCTTTTCGAAGGCTGGCCCCATGGCAGTTCCGGCTTAGCTGCACTACCTGAATAGAAAGTATAAGCGGAAGCAATGGCGGCGGAGGAGGAGGAAGAGGAGGAGAAGAAGGCCCCCTCTAGGAGGCGCCACGGGCATGCGAGTGCGGTCGGCCCGAAATGGGGGGGGGCAACAGGTGGGGAACGGAAGACATGGGTCTTCTGGTGGTCGTCGTGGGGGGTTCGGTGGAAGTCGCCGTCGTCGTCGCAGGCTGGCTGCGTCGTCGTCAGTGGGGTCGCGGCTGTCTGCTTGCATGCAGCGCTAGCCGCCCTCGCCGCGCTCGCCGTTGTAGTGCGACTGCTGGTGCTGCTGCGGAGCAGCTGCGCGACCAGCGCAGCTGCTTGCCGGCCAGGCGTCAGGCGCCGATAGCCGCAAGCAGCGCCGCGCTGCCTGCTTGAAGGAGGCAACAAACCTGCCGCCAGGAGTACCGCAGCACCTCGGTGCGCACTGCCCCTCCAGGCCGTGCGCCGGGAACCGCACCCAGGCCAGTGTCGCGTCGCCTAAACGCCCGCTGGTCTCAAAGACGACCAGAACGAGGTCGCCGCCGCAGGGCGGGTGCCTCCGCCGCTCGTCGTCCTCGCGGCTCTGGGCGGCAAGGCCACCCCGCCCGAAGCGAGCCCGCTGGCGCGACTAGTCGTCGCTGGGAACGCAGGCGATGCCCACGCCCAGGTAGACCGCGGTGCCGGTCACTGCGTGGCGGGTGGCGACGTCCACCTTGGCCTCCTCGGGATCCCGTCCTCCGGTCGGTCTGGTGCCAGGCTGCGACCTTCTGCTGTGCGGTCGCTGCGTTACCCGTGGCCTTCTGGCCGCGCAGCAATCGCGCACCGCGTCGTGCTTCCCCTTTCTGCAAGGGCCAAAGGGGCACTTCAGCGCGCGTCGCCCCCGCCTGTCCAACGGCGCGTCACACACCGCGCCGCCCTGCGTACGAAGCTGGCATTGCGCACCAAGGTCGCAGAGATCGCAGCGTATTCGGTCTGCTAAGGCCAATCGGAAGTGGCCGTCGGGGACGTTCACCAGCGTCTCCCCCTCCCTGACGACAGGGATTTCGAGGCACCCTCCAGCTCCGGGACCTCCAGAAGAGCGCAGGTCAACGCGGTCGTCTTTCCCCAACACCCAGACCAGTTCGGAAAGTGAGCATTTTTATTCGGCGTTTCGACATTGGGCGGAAGGGGGGGGTCCAGCTCCAGACCTCTGCTTAGCGCGACTGTTTACAAGAGTGCTGCCTTTGGGGGAGACCCCACCTGCTCGAAACAGGCGCCAAAAAACAGCCAAGATCTGCTCCAAGGGGGGGGGCGAGGACCCGCGCCGATCGGCAAAACAGCAAATCAAAAACGATCACAAACAAAGATGATTCATGGGGTGCTTAACTCACCCGGTCAAACTCATCCGGTTAAATTCATCCGATGCCTAACTCATCCGCGCCTAAACCATCCGTTGTCGAACTCATCCGGTGTCATTCATCCGATGCCTACCTCATCCGGCCCACTTCATCCGGCGGCTAGTTCACCCGGCCAAACTCATCCAGAAACTAACTCATCCAGCGCCTGACTAAATCACTCATGACCAGTTCACCCGGTGACAAACTCAGCCGGAACCCTGTGCCTGACTCATCTGGTACCAAACTCATCCATTCACCCGGTCAATAATTCATCCGGTTGCCTAACTCATCCGATGCCCTAACTCACCCAGCGTCCTCACCCATCCGGCGCCTCGCAATTTCCAATGCCCTGACTCATCCGCTGGCAAAATAATCCGCTCACGAACTCATTCGGCGCACTCCCTCATCCGATGACCTAACTCTCCCTGCATCCCAACTCATCACCCCTGCAACTCACCCAGCGCCCTCACTCATCCGGCGCCGAATTCACCCGCTCCATCAATCATCGGCCACCCTAAATTTATCCAATCTCATTCGCCCAGCATCTTGACGGACATGCCCGAAAATGTTTGACTTCAAACCCTTCTGCAGCCAAGCAGATTGCCACCCCATCTTCCCCGGGATACCCCGACGAAACCCGCCGAAAGCAGCGAACTGCCAACGTCGCCTGGAAAGACATCCACCAATAACCCAAAAGTAACTCCAAATTTGCTTGACTACAATTTGCTTGACTACAAACTACAAGCAAACTCCAGCCCCCCATCTGCCCCAGGCCCCAGCAAGCCCGCCAGAACGCGACCTCCAAAGCGTCCAACAATGCCTCGAAAGTAACTGAAAATCTGCTTGACTACAAACCGCCTTGTAATCAAGCAGACTCTACCTACCCATCTGCCCCAGGATACCCCCGAAAAGCCCCCCAGCACAACCTCGAGAAGCAGCGAACCACAAACGCCGCCGAAAAAAAAAAAAAAAACACCCAACAAGAAGTCAAAATAACTTTGCATGTGCTTGACAGTGAACCGTTCTGTAGCTAAACAAAGTTTCGCCTCTCTTCACCCGCAAAACGCACCCAAGAAACCCTTCACAAAAGCATCTCGAAGCAGGGAGTCCCGACGTCGGCTTCGACATCATCCTAAACGAGCCCATCCAGCACCCAGCGCCTAACTCATCGGGGCGCCAAACTCATTCAAACCCCATAACTCCTCTGGCGCCAAATTCACGCGGCGCCCTACCTCAAATTAACCCGGTCTGTCCGGAGAGCAGCTCATCCGATACACAAACTCATCCGTTGCCTGACTCATCCGGTGACAAGCTCACCCGATGCCCTACCTCATCGGGCGCCGAAATCACCCGGCGCCCTAACTCATCCGGCGCCCTAACTCATCCAATGCGAAACTCATCCGGCGACTACCTCAACAGGTGCACTAACTCATCCGGCGTCCGAACTCATCCGGTGCCCGACCTCATCCGCTGCCCAAACTCACTTGGTATCCTTACTCTTTCTGTGGCGGCAGCCTCTCCTCCCAAATGGATGCGCTGGCTTGAGCCACAACGCGACACGGATCTCTCTCGCAACTGAGACTATGAGTCGAAAAATTGGCATCCTGCTACATGCCCTAGAAGTTCTCCTAGGTTCAGCACTCTTCTAGGTTCAGCACTCTTAGCAAAGGGAGATGGCAAGACCTCTATCGAGGCCCCTGCTCGACTGAAATATTGGAAGCCCTGCCTGGCAGCAGTAATCCAGGATGGGATCTGCCCATTGATACAGTCGCCCCCCTGTCCCCACGCCGGCCACCCGGAGCAAGCTTAAGTGAAAGCAATGGGAGAGACAAGGAGGGACACCAAACCATCACCACCACCACCACCACCCGGTGAGGATCCAAACACGGCGCCCTTAGAGCTCTCCTCCTCCCAAACGACATCGACGACCTCGCGATCCAGGATCTTCCGGGAGGCTGCTTGGAAGCGGTTCTTGAGTCCTGGGCCCTCCCTCCACCTCTCAACCTCGCCCCCCTCGCCCCCCGGGACCAGGCGCCCACTGGTCATGAGATCGAACAACGCAGCGCTACATTTAACACTGTCATCCTTAGTAAGCGCGCCAACTGGCATACGATTGGTAAGGGCGCATATTGCCAGGCGCCTGCTCGAGCGCCTCTGATATGATTGCTAGATCGATAGCTGTCCGGCGGTCTTTCGCAGACGCGCCCCCTTCTTTCAGCATCGCATCATAAATTGACTTGGCGCCCACAACATGGACCTGTCCCTCGCGAGCCCCTAGACGACAGCCGCGACGCAATACTGTTGTGAAAGGCCCAGAGCACCGGTGCTGGTCTCAGACAGTCACATCTCTAAAGACCACGTCGCGGTAAAGCACTTGCGGCAGCCGAGAGCGCCAGGATTTCGCGAGCCAATAAGGACGGCGCCCTGCGGCGCAACTTGGAGCTGCGCCAACCCAGGATGGAGGCGCGCACCCCGCACTTATCGGCGATGCTACGATCACGCGCCAAGACCATCCAAGCGCCTTGAGTCGGGTCTTCTGGCAGCCCGCGACCGTCGTCCAGCACGGCAGGACCGCCGACGCCACCAGCATTTGAGAATGGTGCAAATGCCATGTCAACTGGGTTGAGACGCCAGACGATGATGATCCCCCAGGAGGGTGGGGCTCTCAGATGCCTCACCAACTTGCTGGCTATGCTAACTTCTCCTGTGGTGGCAGGCTTTAGCCGGCTGGCAAATATGCTTGTTGGCCCGGCAGCTTTGGGCCTGACCTCTCTGCCCACCCAATTGAACTTGTAGGTTAGCGAACGTAAAACTTAAAACTCGGCCGCGTCGAGGGGGGCGCCCCTCTGGCACAGGCGTCCCCTGGTCAGAAATATGCGACGAACCTCTTCTAGCATGTACTTTTCCATGTCTACAGAGGCTCGACGCGGGCCGACGGTGACTCGTCGACCTGCGAAGTCTACAGGACCCCCTTGGCAATTTCGGCACTTACCGAAACGAAATCAAGCTTCTACCTAATGTTTGTCGCAGCCAGGTCCGATCTTGCTCGGAAGCACTCGCAATGAAGAACCATCCACCTCAAGCAGTATCATTTTGAGCAGGCGCCCCTGCTTGTGATACCAGCACCACCAGCATGGTTCAAGCAGTGTGCGACGGAAACCGTGCTTCTCCAAATATCTAATCACCGCGCGTCTCCAGGCCATGGGCGCATCGTCGAGGCCATA